CTCAGGTTGGGTTTGGCTTGGGTTGAGTCTGTGTTGGTTTGAGGATTGCTGCTCTTCCCGGTTGGTTGTTTTCAAGGGGATTGCAGAAGATTGGACGATAGAACAAGAATAGATGGTCGTGGGTTCATATTGTACGGCTGTGTCGTTTTTGAGGCTTGGTGTCTTCTTTTGGGAGGGGGGGGAGGTTTAGATGAAAACGTCACCCATTTCGAGGGATGCCCCTATTCGGAGACACACTCGATTTGAAGAGGTGCTCATGGGCGTCTGGAAATCTGATGAACCCAGGTATTCAGAAAAGCAAAGCGGTAGCCAATGAATCGGTGACCATTTGTTGTAGGGCCCCCCTCCGTGAAATCCGGCCTTTTGCTCCCGAAGGCAAAATCTCATTCCAAACAAATCCGCAGATATCGGCAGCACATATTGGGCGATTAGGTCGCACCAATAACTGAATCGACATGCGCTGCGGTGAGATAAAGTGCCCGGCTCCCATTCCTTCTGAGAACCCGGTGTATGGTATATTTTTGAACCCGTGGCAACCTGAAGATCCCTTCCACAGAGTCAACCTTACACATGAACCCAGAATCCACGCATTTCAGGAGCTGCGAGAAACACTGGATGTCTTTTCGGTGGGATTCCTTGAACCCCTGGGCGCCTTCCATCTCTCTTCACCCCCGCTTCCCCCCCTCAAAAAAACAAAGAAGCCAAGCGTCCCCCCGGTTTCGCCAGGTACAAGGCGCCCCACCACGCGGCGGAGCTCACCTCCGGCTACTACAACGCGGACGGCCAGGACGAAGAGCCGGAAAACTGGGAGGGGGCCGAGTGGGGGGGGTATGGGTCAGAAATTTAAACCAGGAATTGGACCGCGGTTTTTGCTTTTTTCTTGCTTGGCTTGAAAAATGAACCGCCCCCCCCCCCCCCCCACCTACCACACCTGAGTTTGGGTTGGAAGCTGCGCCTTTCTCATGGCTGACTTTGCACAGATTGTCTTGCGATGGCTTTTGCGCGCACGTTAGCAGGCTGGCCTTGCTGTGGCTGATGCAAAGCGATTACGGCAGCGTCAATGTATTTCTTCCGCTATTGCTTTCAAACTCCTGATGCTGCTGTTTCTTGCCAAAGCTCCCAGCTGCAGGCACATAATTAGCAAGTATGTCATACAAGAATTTGCAACAACTGCGGCAAACACAGGAAAGCCCTAATGACTGAAAAGAACCTGCAAAGCAAATAGCTCTGCAAAAGCGACAGTGGACGGAGTCTTCAAGTGGGACTGTTGGAGGCAAGCGCAGTCGAAGGGGAAAGCAACTGTGACAGCAGCCGCAGCAGCAGCTACAGAAACACACAAGCCATGGTACGCGATCGCCTGAACGTGGGGCAGACCAACTTTGAGGTGTCTGTGGCCTTTGTGCCCCTGGCACGCCGCGAGCTGAAGGTTGCGGTGAAGTCCAGCCGCGTGGCCCTCGACGGCGTGTTGGCCAAGTGGCGCAATCCGCACGACGCAGGCGGGCGCGCAAGGCTGCTGCTGCCGCCCAATGGCGCCGGGTTAAAGAGGTATCGAGGGCAGCTGTGGGACAAAGTTTGCAGATTTAGATGGGCCGCCCTTGCACAGAGGAGTGCTGGTACAAGCCATAAAGCGAACGACAGGTTTCTGGCTGTACGACGGCTGTGGGTCTGTGGTGTCCAGCCTTTGCAAAGGAGCCGGCAGCTTGCTCAAGTTGTACTCGCGGGTGGCGCCTCCTGGAGACAACGCTGCTCCGCTTTGGCAAGGTCGCGGGCGACGGCTCCGCCGATGACCACTTCACGGCATAGGCAGAAACAGCGTCCTTGCCAGAGCACCTGTCCTTTTTTCAATTACACGGAAAGACGACGAAAGCGCTGCTCTCTCGATTCCGCCGGGTCAATGACTGTGTGTGGCCTAAGCTGAAGTGGACCGCCAAGCGGCTGCAGCTGATTCCCAGAGTCAGCCACCGCGTCTTGAAGGCGAAAGGGTCGGTGTCCGTGCGGCTGTGGCACAATGCCCGGCCAGAAACATCAGCGGCGAGCGCTTGTCGCCTCCTTGCTTCGCCCGTGCCCAGCTGCGCAGACCTTGGCAGCCCTGCAGCGATGGTGAGGTGAAAAGAGTTGCTCGTTGCGCTTTGTGAAACCTTGGGTTGGCGCATGGTGGAGATCGCCTGCAGAAGTCATCGCCCTGGAAAATGGCCAAATTGGAGTCCCTGCACGCGTGCGTGTAGTGCGCGCAGGCACGAGTGAAGCTGTGGCCGGGAGACGAACTTGCGCGTGTGTTGTGTGTATTTGCGTGCGCCCGCCCCGGCCTACTTTATCTGGGCCAGGAAGAACCAAGATTTGTTTTGACGAGACCTTGCACAGCCCTCCCCCGCGTGAGCACTCCCTCCCAGAAGCCGAGCTGCTGGATAGGCTCATGCTGATGCTGGTGGCGCCGAAGCGCTCGGCTGAATGTGACCAATGGTACTGACCAAGTGCCGCGCGCGTTTGTTTGTGTCACTTCGTGTGTATTTGCGTGCTTACCTGGGTTGCTTTGCGTCGGTTGCTTTGCCGATTTTTTGCGAGGCCACCTTAAGTTGATCTGGGGCAACCACTTTAGGCTAACTTTGTGTGAGTTTCCGCCGCCTCTCCGCGCCCCAATCTTTGTGGGAAGGGGCGCGTGTTGGCCCCACAGAGACGATCTTTGTGCTTCGTAAGGACCTTTTGGCTTGAAGTTCCTGTTGTAAAGCCTTTTCCGCGGCATGATGTTGCATCTTGTTTCCTGGCCTGAGCAGCGACCAAACGCTGGCGAGGGAGACCGGAAGGGGGGGGGGGGGAGGCTTTTTGAAACAGCCACTGAAAAAGCAACCCATGTTGGGCCGCAGGTCTCATTCTCCAGGGTTCAATTTTCCAGGTTACCCTTTTTTGACCCACAGCCATGTGTATTTTTCCGTTGTTTTCTGGGGATTCGCCAAAAAGACGTGCATCACATATCGTTCCGGGCAGTGCTCCGGCATTGGGATGCGAACGGGGCAGTTTCTGTGAGTGTCCAAGGGCGTGAATGCTCATCAGATTTAATCCAAGCTTAGCCTACCTTTCCTACCCGCTTTGAACCCAGTCCGGACCAGTCTCACATTAAGGAACTCGGATTAAACTCCCCGTTTAGCAGAGAGATGAAGGGAACCCAATGGAAATCTTGCACAAGCTTCGATGTGCCGTTTGGAGACGAACCCTTTCCAGGTTGTTTGAAACCAGCAACCTTGGGTTTCATCAAATAACACACATTGGTGTATGTACATTTTTCTTACATCAGATGAACAACCAAACGGTTTTACAGTGAATGACACTTTACAGAGATAGCGATGCCAGCCCACGATGCCCGGATCTCTTAGCAGGCACCGTCCCCAAGAGCACATGGGACATTTAGCCCGCATGCCCCTTTCTCCCAAATGGACCACAAAGAGATCCACATTTTTTGCCACACCTCCCATCGCATTTGAAAACACCCTTTTGTACAAACCACTTAAGACTTCGGGTGGCACCCACCATGTCCCACCTCATGGTGTCCATTTTTGATTTTGCAAGAGATGCCCCCCATGCTTTGTTTGCGCGAAGCGTGCCACACCCTTCCTTCCCCCGAAGCCCCGGCGGCAGGACGCCTATGGCGCCATCGCCTCCGTGTTCCAAGCCACCGGCGCGGGGGTGGACTTCACCTGCATGGAGATGGCGGACACGGAGCAGTCCGCGGACTGCGCCTCGGGGCCCGAGGAGTTGGTGAAGCAGGCGGAGGGGGATGGAGGGGTGGAGGGGGCTGGAGGGGGTGGGGGGGATGGAAATGGGTTATTTGTCATGGAGAGGATTATGGGGTATGGTGGAAATTGACATGGGAAATGTTTTCCTTGGATGGGTCCCAGCCTGCCGTCCATCCATTCTGGTCGAGGTGATGTCGAGCACCTCCTCCCATAGCATCGCCCTGGGCGGGGAGAACGCCTTGCCCCGGTACGACGACACAGCCTACGGCAAGATTGAGTCCTACAAGTCCGGCATGGAGGTGGCTTTGTGTTTGTTTGCGTTTCTTTGTTTTGTGGCGGAAGCCACACCTGAAAACAAGAAAACAATTGAGTGTGTGTGTGTGTGTTTCATAGGCCCGAGAATGCACGAGGTGGCTTGTTGTTTCTTTTGGCCCGAAGAAACAGCTGAATACGAAAACGATTGGGTGTGTCTTTTTATATAGGGGACCCAAAAAATGGCGCAACGGTTTTCCTTTTGAATTTCCCTTAAGCACCACAAAAAGAGTGACCCCTCCAAAAAGACTGACTCACCCATTGAAGCAAAACAAACTGTTGGAATGAGTTGTTGAACAAGCAACTGTTAAACTTTGTACAGCTGATAAAGCATCAACTCAGTTAGGTGTCCGTTTCAAGGGAAGGGTTTCATCGTTTCCGCCATCCCACCTGCCAACTGGGGAGGTCTTCACCTATTTGCGCCTGGGCAGCGACCTGCTGAACGGGGACAACTGGAGCCGCTTCCAGAACTTTGTGAACCAAATGCACCAGGGTCTCAGTGTGGTGGTGTAACGGAGCCGCCTCTCTGCGCTTTGAAACGCGGAGAAGAGAACGCCGCGCATTTGGCGCGCGCGCGTCTCTAATTCGTGCCTGGGGATGTAGCTCGGTTTGACCGGCCCAAGCCGTGCAAGCCCTTAGAACATCCAAGCCCGTTGCTTTTGCTTTCGCTTTTTGCTTCTGAGAGGCGCCTTTGTGCCAACAAGGCGTTGTGCACTGCGGCGCATCGCTCAGTTTTCCTCTTGTCGCACCTGGGAAGGGAGACACAGCACACTCGAAGAGGTTCCGCTTGACCCAACCCGCAGGTGATACCCAAGTTTCCTGGAGGCTGAAACTCTCTGGAACGCCTTTGGACTTCCTGGGCCTTCCTGCGACTTCCTGAAGTCCTGGAGGTTTTGCTAAAGGTTTGGGGATGGACACTTCTTCTGGGCTGGAACACCGCAGCTTGCCTTGTTTCGCCAGGCCTGGATCCTGCAGTCCGGGGGCGTTGCGGCTCTCAGGGCAGGGGTCGCCCAGAGGCAGAGATCACTTGGAAGGGAGCCGGACTCGGAGCTACCAGAAGTTCGTTCTTGGGACATGGCAGATCAGCCAAAATGACATGGACGTCAGTTTGGTCACGATTTCAATGCGAAAGTACGCAACAGAGGTAGGAGCTTCAGTCAGCCTGGAAATTTGCTGCTCCCATGATTTGAGACCTGCAAGGCAAACTGGGACTGGACCGGCAAACCTACAAGTTCAAGTGTTTCATCCAGCTCAGTGAGACTTGCACCTCCAGGGTTGCCTTTACGTGCTTGTTGTGTGTCTCAGATGTCCAGAGCTGCATGCGTGCATCCACATCCCTCCCTGACTTCATGGACTTCAAACTTGTTGGGAAGACCATTCTAATATATTCCAACTAGTGGCAAGCAAAAAGCTTGGACTTCTTTGGGCCAGTCCACTCAGGGATTGAGTAAACCATGCCCTTTCGAGGAATGTGACGCGGACCCACTGCTACGTGAAGTGCGGTTTGGGGGCTCCGTTCTGAGTGACCCAGGCAGCTTTGCTGTGCCACGCGGAGTGCGGAACCTCAGCAGCCAAGTCGACTGATCGATGGGAACTCGGGTGACGCAGCTACGTGCATCGGAGACGCGGTGAGTAGAGCCCACACTCACTGCGGTTCATGCGCGGTTACTTCGGCGAATAGGCATCAGGCGTTCACTGGACTGCAGGGTTTCTAAACACTCCCCCGCAGTGGTCCATCCTCCGTCCGGAGGCAATAAAGCTTCTGCAAACCTACCAAATTGTTTCAACCACCACCAAGAGCAGGTGATTCCAACCACCAAGCCAGTTTGACCAAGGGATTTTTAAACAAGCACTGTGAGGGTAGATGGCCCCTTCGACCTTGGACCAAGTGGCGTGAGGCCTCAGCTGCTGGAGAACGGGGTCTGGACTGTGTGCGCCATGCGAACGGCTTGGCTCGGATCGGGCAGCGGCCCATTTTGTGGGCTCAGGGAACACCCCGGGGTGGGCATTCCTATCCCTTTTGGTTGAACCTGGGAATTGGTTCCCCTATGTTTGTTGCTTCTTTTTTCTCTTTTCTTTGGGGGTGGATGGGTGGGAATCAGACGTTGTTGGGTGGAGTTGCACACAACTTGGGTTGCAACCGAACAAATGGAAGCTCTTTTGGACCATGTGTCTATGATTTCTATCAGCAAGTGTTTGGTCCCCAGGCAACACATGTCATAAGCTTGAAGCTTGATCGCTTCAAAAAATCAGCCAGCCTCGCAACCACAGTTTTTCACACCGTTAAAAAGTAACGTATGGATCCCATAAAGCCCAAAAGCCTTCGCAGCGGACACTTCCTTGAAACTGCCTTTGGACCCCTTCCTGGGGTTCCATGATAGCCTGCAGCGCATTTGTGCGTCATGCGGACTTCGGTTGGACGGATGCCACTGGCCCGGTAGGTACGCCTTGGACGGCCTTCGCTCGTTGGCAGAGCTGTTGGAAGGGCGGGGGTGCCGAGGGTCTGGGAGCTGGCCTCGTTGTCGCGGCACGCGGGCTGCTCTTGGCTCTGATTGACCGTTGGTTCCTTTTCCAGGTAGTAACCACCACAAATTGACCTGAGTTTGTTGCTGAACCATGCTGTGATTGGTGGTCTGGGTCTGAGATTACGCTGAGATGTTTGCGGAGCTGGGTTTGGCATTTTGCGAATTCATCGCTGAGGGCAGCCGTTTGTCTCAAGTGTCCTCATCCGAGCATACTTGCTCAGTGCCGCTTCCGGGTATGGAGACTGAGACTGCCACAGTGGCTGTTTCTCCTGAGCCGCTTCTACCACTAGCGCTTCCAGGGGAGCACATGGATCGACTGCAGCGGCTTGATGCGAATATGGCACAGACATCTGACTGGCAACACTTGCGGGCGATTCTGGCAGATAGCACGCCCTTTGTGCGCAACACTATTTGCAATGCGCTGCAAGATGAGACGGCACGGTCCTTCCAAAATGTGGCCGGGCAGTTTCAGGCTCTCCAAAACTTAAAGTCTGAGCTGCTGCAGACGCTGCAGTCTGAGGATGCGGCCGCGCTTCACCATTTGATGCGGGACATCCATCCGTCCGACACGCATGCTTTGCAGAGGGAGGCTGACGGCATTGATCAAGACGTGAGAGCTTTGCGGCTTGCTTTGGAGAACGAAGATCGCCAGAGCTTGAAGAGTCGAGCAGTCCGCGTGAAGAACAAAGCCAAGCGCTTCCGGGACAAGTGTGCAGAGCTGCCCGAGCTGGACAGATTGCAGCGCAAGTTGGAAGATCTGTGTCGGGAGAGTGCAGATGGAGCAGCAAGATCCGATACCCTGATGGCTGAGACCAGACTCAGACACGGCTGGTGGGTGTGGCTCTTGATGGAGGTCCAGTGCCTTGTGGCACGTGCTGGTTGTGTGCTCACAGTCGCGGCTGGTGCAGTGGCGTTCGGCCCGGTGGCATCCGTGGCAGCTCAGCGGAGCACGAACAGCCACGCACTCGCAGCTGCGTACAGCGCCCTATCGATGGCCAAAACATTTGCCGCGTCAAAATCAGCCGAGGCTGCTGCAGCAGCAACTGTAGCAGCCCAGGCAGCAGCCCAGTCCACGGCGGCTGCAGCAGCTGCGAAAGCTGCCGCTACCTCTGCTGCCGCTGTGCAGGCATCAGGTTCGGGAGTTGCAGGTGCAGCAGTGGCTGCAACAACTGGTGCTACAGCTGCGGCTGCAACCACTGTTGCTGGCGTGGGAGCTCCTGCCGCGACGTTTATGGGGTCAGAGATGCTTGGCGGCGTTGCAGTGTCGCTTGGGCTGCTTCCAACGCCTGCGGCTCCTGTGGGAATTGTGCTGGGAGTTGGCGCAGCTGCATCTGCGGCCGCAGTTGTGTTGTGGCATTGCATGCAGCCTGCAGCCGCGGCAGAAATTTCTGCGACAGCTGCTCAATTGGCTGCTGATGCAAGCGCGGCAGCAGCGGCAGCAGAGCAAGCACAGCACTTTGCCTTTACGGCCGTTGCAGCTTCGTCAGGTGCGGCAGACAGCGTTACGAATGCTGCAGGCACTGTAGCCTCATTGACATCTGCGACCTCTTTGCACAGTATCTTCGCTTCCCTATCAACTGGCCTCATGTCAACGTGCTTCGCACCGCTGATCACCTGTGCCGGTCTTTTCCTGGCGCTGGCTCTGCTGGGGTACGTGGGTTGCGATCTCGTGAAGAGGCTGTTAGCGGAGTTGTTTGCCGCGGAGATTCAACAGCATGAAAGGGCCAAGGACGAGTTCCAGCGCATGGCGCAGGTTGTTGACGAGGCTGCGAAGAAGCTCAAGACTGTATACATAAAGGAATTGAATGAGGCCCTTTACCAGAGCTTGGACTCGGTGGTAGCAGTTGCTCAAACGATTGCTGCAGACGCGGAAGATGCACAGGCCCTGCTGCCTGAATCTGAAGAGATGAATGCCGAGATGTTGAGCTTGAAGGAACAAGTCGACGAGCTTTGCTCATTGTATGAACGAGTCCCCGAAGCCATTTCGGAGTTGGTGGTTTCCCTGCGCGAGCTTGAGCCGGCAGCGCGCCAGCTTGTGGACGAGTGCCCAAGGTCCTTCGAGCCTCCTACCCGCATTCCCATCGCAGTGCCAGCCAGGGCCACGGAAGACACCCTGGCTCTAATCAACCCAGCATCGCCCAGGGCAGACGAGGACTGGATTTTCATCGAGTCTCCACCTGTTGTCACCCTTGCTGGACCTGTGTCTCCACCTCCCACCGATTCCGTGCCGTCCAACACCTACTTTCTGGTGCCAGTGGAGATGGTCGAAAGACTTGGAGCCATTTATGCGGCCGGCCCGAACGGGAATCGCTTGATGGGTGTGCAACGCCGAGCTCAGGCCCTGCGACTCATGGCGAGGTTCTCTGTGGGTGGAGAAGAGCATCGCTTCACGGCCAATCATCAGCTCCGTGTTCGGAGGTCAGGGTCTTGGATCCAAGAGCAAGCGTCAAATCTCCGGGTGGGCGACATCATCACCACTTCGAATGGTTTAGAACCAGTTGAGTCCAGTCCGACTAGCCGAGTCAACGTTGAAGAGGTCTACCGCCTTGAGATCCAGGATGCACGCCACACGCCTGAGGTGTACGTGTTCACTCCCAGTCAAAACGGGGATGGCCAGCTGCACTGGGGTGGTGTTGCTGTCTTGAGCAGCTTGGAGGACCCGGAGCACCACGAAGCCGTGAGGAGCTCTTCTGCCCCACCCCGCCTGAGGGATCTGGACGGCCTCCCCTCGCAGGGTTCCCGGCATTGCAGGGGCCCAGCCCGTTGCACCAACGTCTGCCGAAGGTTCCGCCGGGGCTCCTGCGCGGAAGGCCGAGACTGCCGATTCTGTCACCTAGCCCACCCTGAGGAGCCCAGGCGGGCAGCTAGGGGAGCGCGAGATGGGCAGAGCAGTCAGAGCAGCCAAAGCAACTGAGTCGACAAAAGATCCTTGAAAGTAGAACATGCGGTCTGTTCCTTCATCATCCTTTGGTACTTCAGCTAGTTTCAAACCCTCCATGTTGGTTGAACGCAGTCCTCTCAGGTTGCTCTTTAGTCAATGCGCGTTTTGAATGGAGCATGCGGCACTGCCATGGCTGGAACGAGCGCTGCTCGATGTGCCATGTCATGTAGTCTGCATGATGCATGAATACGGTCAGCATGAATGATCATGACATGTGCACGCACCATGCTGACATTGGCAGAACGCCGTCAAATGTTTCTTTGTTTGAACAATCGCATCATGACCGTCATAGCCGATGCTTGCTAATGCACGACCACATCTATCTTTTACTTAAGTTGTGTCGTTGCTGCCCAGCAATTCATCTTACAGCTCAACAGATCACACCCCCAGCTAGCAGGGACCGAGCGCCGCTCGACTGCTGACTGGGGCTCTTCATCCGCTCGGGCTAGATGACAGCATCCTGCGGCAAAAGGAAGGACTCTGCACCGCGAGCTCTTGACTTTGGGCAGGCTTCGTGCCAGTGGGGCAGCTTCCTTGTGCCAGTTGTTGTCCCTGGTGTAGCGGCCGTTCAAATACGGAGTACGGATGGGGATCTCTCCATTGCGGGACAAAGCAAGAGTGGCCTGCCACAGGGTCAAGTGATGCACTCTCCAGGCCGGTGTGCGTGACGTGGAAGTAGATGCACATTCTCAGCGGGTGTTCCCCTCCAAAGGCAGGTGACCCTTTTCTGGATCCCTCCAAAGGCAGGCTGTTTTTGGCACCCCTTTTTTGGGTGACTCTTTTTTGGGACCCCATTTCTGTTTGCCCGGCCAATCCGAGCCGGGAGCACGGCTCTCACGGCCGCACGTCCCATCCGAGGTGTCGGGGCCCGGAGCCCCGGGAGGCGGCGCTGCGGGCGGCGCTCTGCGGGGTGCTGTACCAATTGGCCCGGGGCCTCGAGGCCATCGGCGACGGGCCGAGCCGAGCGGTCGTCAGAGGCCATGGGTGGAGTCATGGAGTGGCCGGTGGTTGCCATGAGTGGTTGGCCATGGGGGTGATGATGGTTGCCATCTGTGGTGGAGTCATGATTCCCCAAATGGGTCTGTCTTGGTGTTGGAGTTGGTGCCGGGACCCCCAAAACCCCAGCGTTCCGTGAGGGGCTGCGCTCGGCTCGGCGCTCCACGCATGGCTCGGCATCGCCAATGGCTGAAACAGAAAGCTGGTTGGTTTGCGTCGGGTCATCACCTCAAGGCGGAGTGTCCTGGTGATGTTGGGCATCCAGTTGAAACCATGGTTTGCCGGTTAGACGGATTCCCTGTTTGAGCAAGTCAAGTTGAAGCCCATCTACTAAGTATGGTAGAAGCCTTTTTGGAGGTGTCCAACTTGGTTTCTTCAACACGGGGGGGGGGGTCTTGCCTCGGGTCACTTGTTTTGGGCAGCCTTTCACGCGCACTGCAAGCGGTCACGTCCGCATGGCAAATGGGTCCAAACACATCAGCACAAAGCGCGGTCAATTGCCCAGTTTCCAACTTGCCATTCAGATGGTTGGCATATCTAGAAACGGATTGGGACCAGCCCCCCCCCCCCAATTAATGGGACTTATTGGCTGGCCGTTTGGTCCGCTTGTCCGATGGTCCAATGGTCAGCAGGATCATGACTGCAACGCGGGCGGTGTTTGGATCTCCCTTTAAACCAACCCCTGCATGGGCACCCTCCAAGGACACACTCATGAGGAGGCAGATTGCACCCTCACACCCTCACTTTCCCTCATTCCGAGCCAGGGTTCGAATCCCGCCACCAAAATCACCTTTTCAGGATTAAACTACACATCACCAAGCATGTCGAGGGGGGAGGGCATCACAAAGCCAACATTGCAGATCGGGCAGGCTTGCTCCGTCCCCCAAATTCAGCCAACCACACACGAATTGGTGCCTTTTCCCACTGTCTGCCTCACCTTTCGGCCAATTGCGACTGTGAAGTTTGAAGCCAACCAAGCACAACTTGGCGCCTCACCGTACCAGCCCTTTCCCGAGGTCAGCCCGCGGAGGTCCGCCTCAGATTTTGCGGCCATGGAGGTGGATGCGGTGTGGTCGACCAGAGTCAACGGGTGGCACGAAAAGGGTGTTAGGGGAAGGCCATCATTTGGCTGTGGTTGTCAAAACCAATGAGAACCCATTTCGGTTGGTAGGTGCACCACCCATTTTAGAACCTATTGTAGTGGGGATTGGGATGTTCACTGGGGGTACGGGCTTTTGACCCATAGCCATTTGGGTGTTTTTCTCAAAATCGTGGTCCCCGTTTGGGCGGTTTTGAAGGGAAACCAAAAGGACACCAACCTAGAGGGGTCTCTTGTGTTGAGAAAGGCTCGCTCATTTTGCCATTCAGCAAGTCAACAAGTGAATCAATCCACTTTGTGCGGTTGTAGTTGTATTTACACGCTGACGCGACACAGCCGGCCACCGGGCACCTTGCCTTGCCCGTTCTGTCACTTCCCTTTCCGGTAAGTCCGATGAGTAGATGTTAAGATTTAAAAATTCTAAACACTTTGAGATTCTAAGGGTCTCAGATTTGAAGACTTTTGGAATTTAAGGCTTCAATGGTTTAAGAATTAAGGTTTTAAGATTCAAAGACTTAAGGTGTTTGAAAGTTATAACAGCCAGGCCATTGCCCAGCCATTTTCCATCCATTATCAGATTTCGAAGGCTTTAAGATTTTATTTTTGGTGAGATTTGCAGATTTGGCGGCGACTTTCGGAATGTAAGATTTTAAGATCTTAAGATGTCAAGACTTCAAAATTTCAAGATTAAGAGTTTAAGGAATTTAGAATATAGCCCGGATTGAAGGAATTTTATTATATTTTACTTGTTTATGAATTTAAGATTTTCAGATTGCAATAGTTCGAGATTTAAAGAATTTAAGTTTTTGAAGCTTTTAAGATTCTGAGATTTTAAGAGTTTGAGAATTTCGGAATTTCATATTTTAAGATTTTAATATCTGAAGATTCAAAGACATGAGGGTTTCTGTCACTTCCCTTTCCTGTAAGTCCGATGAGTAGATGTTAAGATTTCAAAATTCTAAAAACTTTGAGATTCTAAGGGTCTCAGATTTGAAGACTTTCGGAATTGAAGGTTTCAATGGTTTAAGAATTAAGGTTCTAAGATTCGAAGATTTAAGGTTTTTGAAGGTTATAACAGCCAGGCCATTGCCCAGCCATTTTCCATCCATTATCAGATTTCGAAGGCTTTAAGATTTTATTTTTGGTGAGATTTTCAGATTTGGCGACTTTCGGAATTTAAGATTTTAAGATCTTAAGATGTCAAGACTTCAAAATTTCAAGATTAAGAGTTTAAGGAATTTAGAATATAGCCCGGATTGAAGGAATTTTATTATATTTTATTTGTTCATGGATTTAAGATTTTCAGATTGCAATAGTTCGAGATTTAAAGAATTTAAGTTTTTGAAGCTTTTAAGATTCTGAGATTTTAAGAGTTTGAGAATTTCGGAATTTCATATTTTAAGATCCCCAGCATCACCCGCATCGCCAGCATGCATAACATCATCCGCATCATCCGGGATGGTGCTGGCAATGCTGGGGGTGTTGTCCAGTACTAGGCACCCCCTAAAAATGCTCGTTTTTGGGCGCTGCGGGGAGGTGCTACAAAAATCCTCGAAAATCGCCTAAACCAATCCGCAAATCCTTCGCCCCTTATAAGGGAGGGCCCAGCCCAAAACGTACCCGCATGGTCGGAGCATGGTCGGCGCATGGTCGGCGGCATGGGGCGCGCGGCCTTATACCTGAAGGTAAGCCCTAACGGGCTTTGGCCTGCGGCCCGATCACGTCCGGTGGCCGGATTAAGCAGGCTGACGCCTGATGCCGCCGACCCCCAATGTGCTTTTATTGTTGATGTTGTGTTAAATGTTGTTTTAAGAATTCGAGGTACGAGGTAAACATTATGATGATGATTATTATTATTATTAATTGGCCAGATTCGCAAAAAGAGAAGAAAGAAGAAGACAGAAGTAACTCTAAGGTGTAATAGAAGATGGACTGGATCTCCTCGAAATCTTGGATCAAAGAAAAGAGTACCCGAATGAAGATCACCCAACATTAAAACAAGTGTCCAGATAAGATAGGCAACGAAAGCATCATCATCATCATCATCATCATCATCATCATCATCATCAGTGTCATCATCATCCTCATCAGCATCATCCTCGCCATGCATCATCCCCATCAGCATCATCATTCATCGGCATCAGCATCATCATCATCATCATCATCACCATCATCATCATCCTCATCCATCATCATCATCCATCATCATCATCCATCATCATCATCCATCATCATCATCATCATCGGCATCATCCCCATCATCATCATGACCATCATCATCATCATCATCATCATCATCATCATCATCATCATCCATCACCATCATCATCATCATCATCATGATCAGCATCATCATCATCATCATCATCATCGTCCTCATCATTCATCATCATCATTATGATCATCATCATCGTCATCATCAATATCATCATCATCATCAACATCGTCATCATCACCATCATCATCATCATTCTCACCAGCATCATCGTGATCATCACCATCATCATCGTCATCGTCATCATCCTCAGCATCATCATCAGCATCATCATCATCGTCATCATCATCATCATCGGCATCATCATCATCATCGTCATCATTATCATCATCATCATCCACCAGAGGTTAGGGTAAGAGGTGAGGGTTAGAGGTTAGGGTTAGAGGTTAGGGTTAGAGGTTAGGGTTAGAGGTTAGGGAAAGAGGTTAGGGTTAGAGGTTAGGGTTAGAGGTTAAGGTTAGAGCATGATCATCATCATCATCATCATCATCATCATCATCGGCGTCATCATGATCATCATCATCGTCATCATCATCATGTCATCATTCATCATCCTTATCATCATCATCATCCTTATCACCATCATCATCATCATTATAATCATCATCATCATCATCATCATCACCACCATTCATCATCATCATCATCATCATCATCCATCATCATCATCATCATCGCCGTCATCATCCTCATCATCATCCTCATCATCAGCATCATCATCAGCATCATCATCATCGTCATCATCATCATCATCATCATCCTTCAGCATCATCATCATCAGCATCGCCATCATCATCATCGTCGTCATCATCATCATCATCATCATCCGTCATCATCATCATCATCATCATCATCATCGGCATCATCATCGTCATCAATATCAGCATCATCATCATCATCATAATCATCAGCACCATCATCATCATCATCATCATCATCATCATCATCCATCATCATCATCATCGTCATCATGATCATCATGATCATCATCATCATCATCAGCATCATCATCATCGTCATCATCATCATCATCATCCTTCAGCATCATCATCATCAGCATCGCCATCATCATCATCGTCATCATCATCATCATCCATCATCATCATCATCATCATCATCGGCATCATCATCATCGTCATCAATATCAGCATCATCATCATCATCATCATCAGCACCATCATCATCATCATCATTCTCACCAGCATCATCGTGATCATCACCATCATCATCCATCATCATCATCATCATCATCATCATGATCAGCACCATCATCGTCATCATCATCATCGTCCTCATCATCGGCATCATCATCATAATCATGATCATCAGCATCATCATCCATCATCATCCATCATCATCATCGGTCATCATCGGTCATCATCGGTCATCATCGGTCATCATCATCATCATCATCATCATCATCATCATCATCATCCATCACCATCATCATCCTCATCATCGTTATCATCCTCAGCAGCCATCATCATAATCATCAGCATCATCATCATCACCATCATCAACATCGTCATCATCACCATCATCATCATCCGTCATCATCACCATCATCATCATCATCATCATCATCATTAGCATCATCATCATCATCATCATCATCATCATCATCATCATCATCATCATTCATCCATCATCATCATCATCGTCATCATGATCATCATCATTATCGCCTTCGTCATCATCAGAGTTAGAGGGGTTAAGGTTAGAGGTTAGGGTTAGAGGTTAGGGTTAGAGGTTAGGGTTAGAGGTTAGGGTTAGAGGTTAGGGTTAGAGGTTAGGGTTAGAGGTTAGGGTTAGAGGTTAGGGTTAGAGGTTAGGGTTAGAGGTTAGGGTTAGAGGTTAGGGTTAGAGGTTAGGGTTAGAGGTTAGGGTTAGAGGTTAGGGTTAGAGTTAGGGTTAGGGTTAGAGGTTAGGGTTAGAGGTTAGGGTTAGAGGTTAGGGTTTAGGGTTAGAGGTTAGGGTTAGAGGTTAGGGTTAGAGGTTAGGGTTAGAGGTTAGGGTTAGAGGTTAGGGTTCGAGGTTAGGGTTAGAGGTTAGAGTTAGAGGTTAGGGTAAGAGGTTAGGGTTAGAGGTGAGGGTTAGAGGTGAGGGTTAGAGGTTAGGGTTAGAGGTTAAGGTTAGAGGTTAGGGTTAGAGCTTAAGGTTGGAGCATCATCATCATCATCATCATCATCATCATCATCATCATCGTCATCATCATCATCATCAATCATCATCATCATCATCATCATCGTCATCCTCATCATCATCGGCATCATCATCATAATCATCATCATCAGCATCATCAGCATCATCATCCATCATCATCCATCATCATCATCGTCATCATCATCATCATCATCACCCATCCATCATCATCATCATCATCATCATCATCATCATCGTGCATCATCATCATCATCATCACATCCTCATCATCATCAGCATCATCATCATCATCATCATCATCATCATCATCATCATCGGCATCATCATCATCATCATCATCATCATCATCATCATCAGCATCATCGTCATCATCATCATCATCATCATCATCATCATCATCATCATCATCATCATCATCATCCATCATCAACATCATCACCACCACCATCATCATCATCACATCATCATCATCATCATCATCATCATCATCATCATCATCATCATCATCATCATCATTCATCATCATCATCATCATCATCATCGTCATCATGATCATCATCATTATCGCCTTCGTCATCATCAGAGTTAGAGGTTAAGGTTAGAGGTTAGGGTTAGAGGTTAGGGTTAGAGGTTAGGGTTAGAGGTTAGGGTTAGAGGTTAGGGTTAGAGGTTAGGGTTAGAGGTTAGGGTTAGAGGTTAGGGTTAGAGGTTAGGGTTAGAGGTTAGGGTTAGAGGTTAGGGTTAGAGGTTAGGGTTAGAGGTTAGGGTTAGAGGTTAGGGTTAGAGGGTTAGAGGTTAGGGTTAGAGGTTAGGGTTAGAGGTTAGGGTTAGAGGTTAGGGTTAGAGGTTAGGGTTAGAGGTTAGGGTTAGAGGTTAGGGTTAGAGGTTAGGGTTAGAGGTTAGGGTTAGAGGTTAGGGTTAGAGGTTAGGGAGGTTAGGGTTAGAGGTTAGGGTTAGAGGTTAGGGTTAGAGGTTAGGGTTAGAGGTTAGGGTTAGAGGTTAGGGTTAGAGGTTAGGGTTAGAGGTTAGGGTTAGAGGTTAGGGTTAGAGGTTAGGGTTAGAGTTAGAGGTTAGAGTTAGAGGTTAGGCGTGTCAAAAATCCGCCGCGGGACCCCCCCTCCCCCCCTCAGACTCCCCTAACCACCACTTAGAACACGCCTCGCCCCTTTGCAGAGACTAACTTGGCTTTTGCAAAGGGGTCGGCGGATTTTCTGCCAACCCCATGAGCAATCTGCAGCCTGGCTATAGCGCCAGAAGTAGCTGAGCCCCAAGCCCCAGTTTCTTGTGAGCCAGTCTCTTTTCAAGGCCTGTTGTGTTCCCTGAGTGTGTACCAATGGCTTCAATTCTGGTACATAGACCATTTCTAGTTGGCAAACACAACGAAGACACAGATCTGGTCCATGACTTGTTGGTGACCCCTTAAGGCTGAAAAGATCTGAAAAGGGTACTAGCTCCAAAAAAACATCGAACCCATATAAACCTTTGGTTTCCCTTGGGTTTCCCTTTAAACAACTTTGACCCCCCTCCAAAACACGGAGGTAACCTCCTTTTGTTGGTAAACCAAACACGGTTCCTTGGCAGGTGGTGCAGCCGGAGAGTGTGGTAGTGCTCCTCACGGAGGCGATGGGGAGTTTGGCTCTGTGATTCCAACCCGGAAGTCAACTAGGCTTTCTCTCCCCTCTTTTGGTTGGGAGGGTTCCCCTACTAAAATAGACGGCAGAAAATAAGGGTACCAACTTGTTCTAACCTCTCTACTGGAGGACCTAGTCAAGGTGTAGAAGTTGACGTGTGATTTAAGCAACGTAAGGTTTTACATGCATTGTTTTTCGTTTGGGGCGGGTCCGTTTTTTTTTTTTAGGTACGCCTAATCTCACCGAGTCGTGGCTTCATTTGTGCGCTGACATCAATTCGCTTGCCCAACCTGCAGGCGCAGGTTGCCGTGGCCCCTCCGCCCCCTCCCCTCCGCGTCTGCGGGTCTCCGAATGCTGATGCAGCCGCAGCACGACGGCAAGTCACAAGTGCATGCGAGCTCAATGGCGAGTCTTGGTGCCGATGATGCAGAACCCAAACCTGGGATGACGAGAGGCCTTGGTGCCCTAAAAGCAAACGTAAAGCGGCTTTGCAAGTGTCAGAATCAAGAACACAACGAAGCACGCATTGACATGGGAAGTATGTTTAGCAAGCATGCGTGTGACGGGGGCAATCAGAGGGACACATGCACTTCTAATTTCAACCCCATTTGCTCCATAGTCCACTCTGCCATGCCAAAGCCTACCATAGCTCCAAAGCAACTCACATGAAGCTTTGATTCGGAGCCCAAAATGCAGCCCCCGAAAGCCTTGAGCTTCGACTAGGATTGACACATGTTTCAAGATCCAAGCGGCTCTTACCGTCTACACGCTCGACAAGTGTCGGCGGATTACACCTGGAGTGGAAGCTTGTGATTTGATTGCGTTGTCAGGACGATTGCAGATTTCGTATTTGAGATGACGGACTAGTGGCGCTTGTTATCTTCATAGGCGTTGGGGCGAGGGAGGGTTGACCCCAAGCTTGCCTCAGTTGAAAGATACAGCATCTGTACTGCAGGGCTCCCTGCTGATGATTCTTTCTAGAAAACCACCAAACAACCCAGGGAAACGGATCCAGTTTTTGAAAAGCACGATGGTTGAAAAGAATGGGGAATCAGCCCTTAGAACTAAGCCCAAAATCCAAACGTCAGAAAATAAAGAACGCCACACCAACACAAAAAGATCCATCGTTCTTAGAATGATGGACTTAGAATGATGGCTGAACCGAACCACACCCTTGGAATGATGGCTGAACCGACCCCGAACGCAGGCGCTGAAGATCGGCGGCTTGGATGAGGACGCGCCTGGGCCTCGGCTGAAAGCGAACAGCGTGCAGGCGGCTGGGGTCCGTTTCCAAGGCAAAAAAGCCCGGCCGTTTCCAAGGCCTTTTTTTTTGGAAGGTGCGTGCTGTGCATTCGTGGCTCACAAGATGGCATCCCCTACAATGGCACCTTGGCAGATTACATCAAAGACTAGAAGCTGTAGGTCTTGGAATCCCCCAGAAATGGCACCTCCGATGGAAACCAAGACAAAAGTTTTTAGGTCTTGGGAATTTTGAGCCACACCCATGTTCCTCCGGATGCTTTGTTCTGGGAGGTTGTGGGCCAGCTGCACGGTGCTGGACACCTTGGTGGACAAGGCCGGTCGGATAGATGAGTTGGCGCCCCTGTTTTGGCTGGTTCCAAAAGGACCATCACAAGGACCAAGGGCGGGGGGGTATCGTTTGTTTTTTGGTTTTCAAGGAACGCCAAAATGGAATCATCACGTCTCCTTGGTGGGGGTGGGGCCTTCCACCCAGCCAGGAGGACCAAAGTCCAATGAGTGTTCGTTTGGATGGGGCACTTGCTCATGGCCAGCCCAACACAAGACATGCTCCATCCGAGTAGGCCTTGACCCAAAGCTGCCTGCTTACCATCCATGCGACGATCTTGAAGCAGCACCCACTGAAAACGGCCAGGGAAAAATGTCTGGAACATGGGAACTGCTAATGAGGGAAAACATCAGAAACAAGTTCCGGATGTTTCAAGCACCCCAGAATGAAGGGATACGGCGACGTCCCCTGGCTTCGGTACGCAGCGCACATGTACGCCCACAGATACCAGCCCTTTATACAATTGGGCACCGCAGTCGAAAGAGATACATGGTCGGGTAAAGCATGGCCGCCACCTTCCTTGAAAAAGAAGCAACGCAGCATCCATTCTTCCAGGGTCCGAGTCAAACTCAGGGGCGGGTGATCCGTACCAAACAGGATCCTGGGGTTTAAGGGTTCGTTCAAACAAAGGGCACATAAGCTGGCTTTTCCAAAAGGCAGTGTTCTTGAATGGTGACTTCCACCCCTTCTGGGGAAACCAGAGCCAAGCCATGTTGCTGGTCTCCAGATGGGTTTCAAGTGGCTAAGCCAAAGAAGAGGCTCTAACAGCCAGTACCTTCTCAGAGAATGAGATGGAAGCCCGTCCAAAAATCCATCCACCTGATGGTCCATTCCCAAAACCTCTGGAAAAATACAGGGACTTCAGAGTAGTCGTTGGGGTGCAACTTGATGTTCAACCAAATGGGTGGCTCGTCTTTGCTTTTCTTAAAGGAATTGGACGTCCTCCAGCCTTGATGCAGCGACAACTCGCGCAGGATCCGCGCCTGGCATGCGTCTTTATGTCGAGAGGAGGCCGGGCGCAGGTGGGAGAGGTGGCGCTTGCGGTGACAATTTGTCGGCGTGCCCTGAAATTGGTCTTGTTTAGGTCCTGCCCTCAGTTTTGCGTCCAAAAGGCACTTTGGGATCCCCACCTTATTGCCATGTCAAAGCAGAAACTCTGTGGTGTCGTTGGCCGACTTGTTTTGAGGGTGCACCAAGTGTCACAGTGCTAAATCAATCGGTGTCAGGAGACCTCGCCTGTTCAAATGATATGGATCAAAATGGTTTCTGGGTTTGTCTCAAGGCAGGGGACCCTCAACAGTGGCTTCCAGTTGGTTTCCTGTTTTGAACCAACCATGAGTGGGTACCCCCCCATATGGTGTAATAGTATTTGTACTGGTACTTGCATGTTTAAGCGTCCATCTGTGGCTTGTGCTCTTTGCCAAGGCGAATTTCGACCAAGTTGGAGTGATGCCCGAGAAACTTTAAGACCATCTTGGGTCCCTCTTCTAAGTTTGCAGAGAGTATGACAGTGACATTATTATTGGAGTTGGACCCTGCAGATTCACACGGAACCCAACATGATACTTTGAGAAATTTCATTTTACAATTTGGGGAAGGAACCCCCTATGTTGGGTTCCTTTGCATACGGGGTATGTCATTTTTGCCGGAGAATGGTGGCTTTCCTTCTGGTTTCCCTTTAAAAGCAACCAAGAATTGTACCCTCAAAGCAAACGCACCGATATGTTTTGAATTGGAGCCCTCTTGAGCTTGGGGAGATGTTTTGGGGAGCTCGTGGGCCCAACTCCTCCGCCCGGCCTTCCGCAGCGCTGGTCTCAAGTGCTCATGATGTGAGCGCCGGGAAAGGCTGACTGGAGAAGGCCAGGGAGAAGCCGAAGCTCAGTTGAAAGGGGAGACCATAAAGATGTGCTGTATTCTTGGTGGCTCCCAGCCATCCGGTTCCTTGGCTTTTTAGCTTCTTTGCGTTTAGTGGGGTTTTCCATGTTGGTTGGATATTAGGACTTGAACTTTTTGCCAACCAATGGGGTTTCCATTAAACCGAAATAAGATATATTGACACACTCCGTGGCACTTGGAAACTGAACAGAAGCACGTTTGTTCGAGGAATCTCCTTTTAGGATTGGACGACTTTGCTGGGTTCCAAGCTCATCTGCAGGCGGAGTCTATGATGGAAAGGTTTTCTGGCACATTGGGATGGTTCTAAGCTTTAAAGGCTGTTGATAGAGTGACGACCCCTTGTATGCCAAGGCTAAGCTTGATAGTGTGACTACGAAGGGCACCCTTTCCAATCAGCGCCCCTTGTCACGAACTGATCCTGTTTTACGTGTCTGAGCACAACTGTGAATGTATTTTGCTCCAAATGGCTCTCGGTCCTCCAAGAAAGAAGCGAACACACATTTAGGAGGCTCCTCGATTTCGAGACCCAATGCTGGCAGGTGCTTGACATGGACCAGTACATTCTGGCGCGTGGGTGGGTGGGGTGCGACGGGCCGATGGCTTGATATGCCCATGCGACTCCTTAAGCGCACCGTGATGATATGCCCTTGGACCATGGTGCATGTTGCATATAGACAAGAGACCGAAGGTTCCTTCATAGGCCAAATGTGTTTCTCATGATCCATGTTTACCAGGCACGCTTTGTGCAAGCGGCAATTGTGAAGGAACTGTTGCGACTTGTTTGGGCTTCCATCAGAACAACCATCAAGTGGCGTTCCAAACAGGCTCGCTCGGCATGCGTGAAATATATGAAACACCTGAAGTCGCTCAGGTTAGCCTTTTTCAGATCCATCAGTTTTGTTCACCCCCTTTTGTGGGGTGGAAATAACGGAGAAAACAACGGAGCGGCCGCCGGAGAGGACGTCCTTCTGACGCCGGCGCGGGCGGCTGGGGACCTGGTGACCAAGGGCTGGTACGCCTGGAACTTCCGCACCATCCGGGAGCTCGTCGAGGCGCCGGGGTGTTTTTAACGGCACCGGTGTCACAACAAGCCACCGGGCCCAAGAAAAGAGGCAAGCAGAAGTGAAGCGAAAAAAGATAGGGTTGAAGAGGGCCTGGTATGTTTTGTTTATCTAGCGGCAGGGAGCAAATCTGGAAAGTGGTGCCCTTAGTGGTTCCAAGTTCCAACGCCTTTCCTATTTGTGGAGAAGGGTTTGATGCAAGCAGTGGGTCCCGTTGCACGGGTGTACATTCGGGTGTACATTCCGAGCGTCTACGTTTCAGCTATTTAGCATGCATCCACACCAAGTGTGTATTTCCGATGTGCCAATGTACATGTGCAGCGAAGGTGTACAGCAAAGGTGTGCAGCAAAGGTTTGCAGCAAAGGTGTGCAGCAAAGGTGTACTGGATGTACGTTGCATGTGCTGGAGTTAAGCTACACCCAAGCTAAAGGTGTACATGGTGTACACTCATTTTTACAAATAGGTTTACATGGCATTTCGTTGCAAAACAGGTCAGATTGCGTTACTCCATGTGCACCCACACCGAAAGTATGCATTGCATCGCCAAGCCTACGCTCACACTGACAGCATCTGTGTACGTATGCTACTTTGCGATATACATTGATCCAGTCAACCTACACCCATACTTGAAGGTGCATATTGAGAAAGTCAACACCAGCCCCCCACCTACTTGGTCAGGCACACTGCACTGGTTTTGCTTGGTGCTTCAGTCGCTGCCTGGTCCATTTGATTCGTGCGTTGTTCGAGGTGCTTGAGCTTGATCCTGGCCTTGTTTTTTTAACCACAGTTCACAGTTTCGTTTTTTTCTTCCTCTTTTTTTCCAGCTTTTTCCAGGTGTTGAGATTGATTTCTCGCCCGGTCTTTCCAGGGCGTTTCCAGTGGCGCTTTCTCTTCAATCTCCGCTTCCAGGATCCCGACTACCTACCAGAGGAGCCGGAGCCTGACGAGCCAGTGCTGGAGGCAGCGAGGGTGAGAGGGGGAGAGAGGGTGAGAGGGGTCGGAGCCGCGGGACTGCTGGGTTAGGGGATCCCAAAGGGTTCAGGTCCCAAGACCTCGAATAAAGAAGAACGGGAGCTCCAAAGACCGAAATTGCGAGCCCCGAGAATAGATCGGTTGATTTCGATGGGGTGTCTAATTTTTTGTGGGGATTCAGACCAGCTTACCCGTTCTACTTAGATCCTGGGGTCAGAATGCTGAAATCTATTGTCCTACTGACACACCCCAAATGAGCTGCAATCAAAACCTTGGTAAATACGTGCAGTTGTCCGCCCGTTTCATTCTACTACCAAATGCTGATTTCGACTCAAATGGGCATACCATAAATCAAAAGGTGTGTTGTGCTGTGTTGAAATCCCAACCACAATTTTGCCCCAAACCCGCCCCCCTCCCCTTGGTGTGGTGTTGTGGATCGATCCGCCTGTTTCTGAAACTTGGACTGCAGGTTGTGATTGGCGATGCGGTCATTCAGGACGGGCTACGTGCAAGCAACCAAGCTGGAAGGTTGATCGTGTTTGTTTACTCCGCAGAAGAATGTGAAGCCCAAACCACCTGATGTTTTTTTTTTGTGTGTGACGCACTATGTGATTTTGCAGCAGATGACCATGGCGAAGCTGTCAGGACACCTCACTGGGGCCAGCGACGCCCGCATTTGTGAGGCAGGCATCCGCTGGAGTGTGGATGGCCCAAGTCTGCCCGTGACATGAGTAGCAGACATCAGAAAATTGACACTTGCGATTGATGTAAGGGAAGGCATGACACATATCCGCCTTTAGTCGATTATGGGAACTCCTGAGTCTTTTTTTGGGGTTCCCCTAAAAATGGTGGTCCTGGTCTTCAGTTTGGTGTCCTTTTGAAGCCTACCAAGCAGGGGTACCGGGTACCGAGCCTCAAAGAAAGCGAGCCACCCATTCTCATGCCACCTGGCCAGGGTGTCCATGGACCGCGAGAACGTGGGGGTCACTTGGAGAAAATGATACCACACCTGTTGTGACTTGGCGGTCCCAGCCGTCCGGTCCTTGGTATTCTGGGAATTTTAACAACACACAGCAAGGAGGTTATGGTTGTTTAAGCCCTCGCACGGAGGTTATGGAACCCACCAGAAGGCCTTCAGGAAATGGTCCAAAGCAGGGACGGACCCCCAATCAAGCTGGTAGGCGAGCATGCCCTTGCCTTGGCTGCACTTTGATTTGACCGAAAGTACCTTTCATCTTTTTTGTTGAACATAACTTTTTGCCCCACCTGCAAAACGTGAGTTTTTCTTTAGATCCCATCCTCAGACTGAGGGAAGTGGTTCTGGGTAGACCATTTTAAGACCGATGGGTTTATGACTCATGTTCTACCTGAAAACTCGCTGACCTTTTTAAGGGAGGAGAAGCAGGTGCATACCATAGTTGACCAGAAGGCCTTGAGGAAATGGTCGAAAGCAGGGACGGAGCGACACGGGCGCTGCAAAAACCCGCCAAAAGGACACAGCGAACCACCGACCTCGCATCGCGCGCGCTCAGGAGACCTCGCTGGCGCAGGGCTCGGGCGCAGCGGCAGCCTGGAACGAGCGCTTCCTCCTGCTGCCCCGGGCGTCCACCTCCATGCGCTTCGACGTGTCCCGGCTGGGGCGGAGGGTTGGGGTGGGGCGACTTTTTGGCCTATGAACGCTGGGTTGGGTGGGTTGTTTTTCGGGAAACTGAAAGGGAAACCACTCAGGTTTGTTTCTTTGTTTTGTTGTTTGTGTGCTTTCCTTGTTTTTCGTGCCACAAAAAGCCGGGAACAGAGAGCTTGAAGCTAGGGGGGATTTCTCATATTGGGCCCCCCTTTTCACTACCAAAAGGAAACCAAAGGGAAGCCAAACATCTTTAGCAGTCCCCAATTATTAGAAATTGGCCTGGGGCTCCATTTTGTGTTTGTGTGAGTTGGTACCCTGAAGGTGAATTGTGAGCTGGCAAGGCGGAAGGCAGCCGGGATTGTGCGGTTTTGAGTTGGTAGCCTATTTTCAAGTTTCCCAACGATTCCATTTACCCATATAGTAGGTAACCAAGAGCATCACATTCAAGAACCAA